TGACTGAACCCAGCACACCTGTGTAAAAGAGAACTTGCATGGAAACTGCAAAACCAGTAGGTGGTTTGCAATGGAGTACCAAATTAAGGCAAAATTGTAAAGCTATAAAGTGAAAATTATAAAAAAGTCTCAGCAGAAAAAAATAAGTACATCGATAAGTAATTAAATTAATAGATATAATTGTTATTGTTTTTTAAAACCAGGTTATGACTGGACAGAAATTCCTACAAAACTACCATACACGGCTTTTCAGGGGGTAAAACAAAGGTCTTTTCAATCTTCCTTTGTGACTCCAAAAGACAGCAAAGTAAACCGAGTAAGTTTTGAAAGGTGTATCCAAAAATCTGTCTCATTCCTATCTATATGAAATGGAAGAAAAAAGAATATCTATCTTTTCACTACAAAACATTGTATGTGCAAGTATTGTTGCAAAGTAAGTGGTAATACAGACTGTTAAAAAAATTGTAAACATAATTTCAGATGACATAATAACAAGATTAATGAAGGACCAGAATTAATCAGCTTACAAGGGGAAAGGCAGCCAAAATAACATTTTTGCTAGCATACTTCTCATTCTTAGTACTTTTCCACGGTCAGTGTTTGGGAAGAGCGAGATGCTTTAAAGGTCTTTCCATCTGTTGCTGATTCCATGTGTTCACAAACTTTTCTTTACTCTTTACATTGCAGCACTTCATTTTTCAGTTTTACTGTCTACCACTTAGCACAGCAACCTGCTGTATGCATTTCCCTCTCACGGCTGAGATCTGAAAAGCAACATTTACCAGCTTCATAAATTCTGCCAGCTTCTGTCAGCCTTTCAAACTGAACTATGTCAGCACATAGGGACCTTGTGTGGCAGGATCTCCCACGTGAAGGAGAACCACATCTCTTGTCCCACAGCTCTGGGCTTGGGGATAACGTGGTTGGGTTACCCTGGCAGCGGTGTCCCCAAGCAGCTGCAGAGACCTACGCTTGCTGCGTTCATGGAGCTGCCATGATAAAGCCCGTCTCTCCAGCCACTGCTTTTTGGCACGGGATACACCTGTAGGCACAGCACTGTACAGACACGGCCGTGGAGCCGGTGAGCCAGCTCAGCTCACTGTGGACCAGAGGGCAAGGCCCGGATGCTCCCACTGGGAGCATGCACAGACACCTCCTGGGACACAGTGATGCTGTGCTACAGAAGGTACCTTGTTCTAGGATTAGGTCTAAAAGCAGCAGCTGTTTATTTTTTGCATCTCTTTTGATCAGATATATGATGACAAGGTCTTGCGAGGAGGAATTGAAGTAAAAATTTTATTTTGTACATTTATAGAGCAAGATTGTCACTCTAATTTCAAAAGTAATCCTCGGTTATGCTCAGATCCAAATTTTGAATCCAGTCTTGGACATTATTTCTTCAAATGAGCTTTGTTTTTAATTCCATTCCTCAATTGGTTTCCATTTTCTCATCCCAATTTTCCGGGGAGCAGAAAGCCTACTTTTACATTGCCTCATTTATCTTTTTTTTTATTCAATCCCCAGTGTAACCACACAAAGTCACAATACCAACACGAGAGGTCAGTGAGCACCATGGGAACAGTGTAGAAGGACTCACTTTGGCTCTTCATCAAAACTCATTGGCCCTTCTCCAGTCCAGTATAAGCTTACCGTAAATCTCGGGCTTTGCTGTCTGCACCAGTGGTTGAAGTTTTAAGGCCTCAGTGACTGCCTTAGGTGCATGATTCCTCTGGTATTTATTTCTTAATATGGCAAGCTGGCTTCGTGCTCCTCCTTTTATGTTTTTTTCCTTTGCTTCATTTCTTTCCATTTCCACAGGGAACACCCATAGCCTGATCTTGCAGACTGCTTTGCTTTCCAAAGGACTGCAGGATAACAGCTATGTTTACGGGAGGTTTGGCTCTAACTACTTGAACTGCTTAACTACCTTAATTACTTTTACTTTTTAACTGGTTTCACTCTACACACTCATCCCCAAACAGATTTCTAATTCAGAAGAGTTAGTGCAGTTACATGTTCAAGCACTTTCTGCTGTCTGAGAACAGTACTGCTGAAGAGTTAAGCAGATCAGTAAACAGCTGTGTAATTCTGAACCGATAACTGAAACAGTGTATTTGCAGTTACTGGCTGCGTCGTTTTACATATGTTTTGTTGGTATGTGCCTCACATAAATGTGCTGGAAAACTATTTTAAAAATGTTTTCCCAAAGAAATATGAAAATGCTTTCCATGTCACATTTTCCTCAGCAAGGTTATACACCTACTACAGAACTGTTGTAGTTTACTAAAAATAGTCTTTCCAAGAGACGGTGCTTTAAAGTTCATTCCAATCTTCCGAGTAGTTTTTTTTCTCTCAGTAAGTCTCTTTTGAAGTACAATCTGCAGATAAATAGTGTCTTTTTCCTTCCTTTGATGGTTTCTCACTGTATTTTGTTGTCAAATTCCCTGTACTTAAGAATGATGGTTGAACTGTATTCCAGCATTTGTAAATAATGGAACCATGAGGAGTAGGACCCAGAAAACCAGATATCTGGCATACAGGAAAATAAAATTAAAAAAAAAATACCAATACCACCTGAAGAAGAGCATAAAAGTGAACAAAAATATGATTTTGCAGCCTGGTATAATTCTTCTAAAGAGACAGTGTGTTTTAATACAGTGATAGAAACGCCACTTGTCTCATGGTTATCATTCAGCTGCCCTCACTATATCCAGTGGATCCTATAACCCAGCTCACCTCCTCCAAAGGAGGAGCTTTGTTATACATCATCCTGATTTGAGACTCCAAAATACACTTTATTTCAGGAAGAAACTGAGTTTCCACTCTTTCATGAGCTGGAGGGGTCTGACTGGCTTTTAGTAATGTCACCTGCTTCTGCTTTAAACTTTGACAGATCATGGTGTATGTCTGTGTTGTGCCATGTGCACTTTATAGCCCTACTAGCAACAGCAAATGCAGAGAGGCCCTTTCTCTATGCCTGGGACAGCCATCAGCTCCTCCATGACAAGCATTTCAGAGTGGTAACATAACTTCTGTCCCTCCGTTTCAGTCAGATGTAATGTAAACGTAGGTATTTCTGACACGGTTAATGTGAGCGGGATGACACATCACCTGGTAACATCCACATATACACTCTGAACCCAGATACTCCTGTATAATCAGCACATGCTGGTGCCTTCGTTCACTGTATAGAAAGACTGCTGTTCCCCATCTCTGCAGTCACCAGTTAAACATAATGCTCACATTTAGCTGAGGCTGCTGGTAATGCTCAAGCAATCAAGAAGAATGCCAGGCATGTTTTTGTCTACTAAAATGAGCCAGTGGAAATGAATCTCAGTTCCATTAGCTGATGCCCTGATCACTCCTTTAAAACAAACAATTACCTAGCAAACAGTTCTTATAAAGTATGGTTAATTTATGCCATTGGGAAAGGTCAGGCATATCTTCACTGGCAACACTTCATACCTGAAAATCATGAAGGATAAAAGGGATCATTCACCATGACCTGAGCAGGTATTAGTCTGAGCTAACTCAGCATCTATGAACTACCACCTCCTTTACGTTGACTCAGCAGTCTAAAGGGGCTAGACATCCTACGGATTTCTCTTTGAGCTTCCCCAGGAAAGCTGACTTGCCCATGGGGTCAAACATACATCTTTAGAAACCAATGTATTACCACTATATTTCCTCCTAGATCTTTCTTGTCTGATAGTAGTGTGAAGGACTACTTAATAAAAGGGAAAATTCCATCAAAGAAGGTGAAAATACCCACTCTGTTTTTACCTTTTGATTTTATGGATGTATTTCTCACATTTTCCTTTCTTACAGTTCTCCTCTCCTCTGAGTCTTACTTCTGCAGAAAATCCTGCAGCTTATTCCTAGTATTACCATTTTAAGGTTTAAAATCATCTAAGATAGTTTTGGAGATGCTGAGGAGATTCAGATGGCAGCAGTAAGAACATCAAAGTTCAAGAGCTGTGTGAGATGGCTAAGGCTTATGCTCCTAGAAAAAGAAAAAAAGTGAGGGAATGTATGATCTGAAGTTTGTTAAAACTGGATCATTTTTTTGTTGTTTGTTGCATTCCCTGGCAAGCCCAGAAGAAATCAGCTCAAGCTACAGCAAAGAAAAAGGAGCTTTTTATTTCTTCTAATGGCAAAACGCCACACAGGCTACTAGGAATAGAAGAATTTTAATTTCAGCTTAGCAACTGACTTTAAGGTCACTTTAAGTCAGGAGTTGGCAGCCTCTCACAGGTGGCATCCCATTCTGTGTTCTCTGTCCTCAACTCAGATGTAAACTAATGCCCATGTGAACCAGTTCTGTGGTTCTGACGACCCTTTGTGGTAAACTTACCGCTGTGGCTTTATCAAGACCATCTGCAAATTCTTACCTCACTAAACATCACATTTTTTGCTGTCTTTTGAATGTTGTTTTTTTCCTGATGTAGCACTATGCTCAGAGGTAGAAACGGGTTCTCCTCTCAAGGCCAACCTCTGTGAGCTACTAGCTGATATGAAGTTGTAGATAAGAAAGAGGCTGTATTTCACCCAATGGAAGCATGGGTGTGATTGTGGAGATGAGTGGTTTTTGATAAGACAATCATGACATAGCAGAAAATGCGATGCCCATTCTGGAGCAATTCGATAGAGGAGTGAAAAGCTAAGACCACTGAAGCTCGTGAAGCTCTAGAGAATGTAAATCTTACCTGTGCAATCATGTCTGCAGTTTCAGCATAACTGCGGCACTTTTTCACAGCTGAACGAGCTAAAAAATCATCAATCAGCCTTACGCCGATGCCATAACCCCTAAGGAGAAAACAAAATGAACATTCAAAATGGGGAACTTCTTTCCACCTACCATCTTGCCAATTGGTCTTATGTGCTTTCTCAGCAAAACAGCTGCGTGTTCCTAAATGAACGGCTTTGAGGACAAAAGATTTTGCTGGTCTAGATTCTTCTTTCTACCACATTTTGCAGAACAGTGGGATTGCTGTTCATGTAGTCATTTAAGGAATTGTACTCCTTTAAACATGATACTCCTGGCAAGGATAATATGAATGTTGCTTATATACACATTGTCTATACACAAATTTATATTTTCATATATGAATAAATATTAGATGCTAGACATATGAGTATAATATATAAATAATATACAAATAATACACCTGATTAATACTGCTTGGTCAGTAAAAATAGGATAGGATAACATAGGAGAGGATTTTCTCCATTCCTCCGTACTCCCCAGAGTTCATCTCACACTATCTCTGTCAAGGAAAACACATCAACTGCCCCTTTAGGTCACAGCATTCACTTCTGGGCTGATTCACTAAATCCTGAGCACCCTCATGGCAGTGTTCAGGTGCCAGGAAAACCCACAGGAGATGGACTTGCACCCAATCTCTTTCACTTTATCCTCTCACCTCTTCACCTAATTTTTCACACGTCCTCCACAATTACCTCTTTGTCTTTTTTTCTAACATAATTTTTCCCTTCATCTACTAGTTGCAGAAGGAATCCAGAAGTTGCTAATTAATATAAAGATAAATAAAACAACTATTCATTCCCAGTGCTCACACAGAAGCAAAGGTCACTAACTACATAGTGTGCAAAATAGCTATGCCTCCAAGCATTTCTTGAAAAAGGGAAATAGATTGACACAAATGTTATGAAAGAATGTGAGCTCAACTCGGAAATGTTTGTAGGGGATTTTTCTTTGCCATTTACGTGAATGTTGGTAGTCTCTGCCTGTTTGTCAGAGGCCCTACATCCTCAGTGAAGCAGTCTGAACTCAACAGAGTTTCTTACTGATTTTGTACCATGTTTCTAGCAAAGAAGCCAAAAAGTGATCTGATGTCTAGTGTGATGACAAGGCCAAAAACTGGTTTTGGCAGCATGAAGTTTAAAACTGCAGTATGCCATGCATCAGAAAACAATGAAATATTTATTTATTGACAAAGCACCAATATCAGTAACATAGGTAAATATGTCATCAGCAGTTAGCAAGCTATGTAGTGGTGGTGTACAAGACTACTTGGATCTTTTTCAACTTTTATGCCTTAAATTTGCAAAGTCAAATGAATAACAAGTTAACAAGCAGCTATTTGGCAACTGTACAGTGAAAAACACACTTCTTACTAAGGATTACATATGTACATATATATATATATATATATATAAAAATATTGTCCCCAACTGTCCCAGATCTGCTAATCTCTAAGGTTTCTTCCTCGAGCTAGGCTGTCTTCATCTTCACAGAAGTAAAGATGGCCACACTGCTTTAAAGAAAATTGTCATTATTTTATCAAGTCTTTATCAACACAAAACCAAAATGATTTTATAGAAACAGCTATAATAATAAAAACACAACTGGCATCTTCCAAATCTCCACATCTTCCAAAGCTACCCTTTAGTAATTTCTACCATAGCATCACAAAGAAGCATGTCTATTTTTGAAATGTATGATTTTCATCAGAGATAAATGAGAGATAAATATAAAATATATATCTGAGACATGTTGTCCCTTCTTAGTTTGTGAATAAATAACTTTTCTTTTTTCCAATCGGTGATTTTTTACTCACTTCCATCGATATCTATTGGACTATAGCTTGTTTGCAAACTTTCAGATTAATAATAAAGTGGTCAAGTATTCTGTCCACTGAGATTGTTGTAAATCCATTCTGCACGTCCATTTTGCCTGAAAACACAAGCCTTATGCCTCTGTCAAAGATCTTAGTGTATCTTTTTGTTAACCAGCTCAGAAGTTGTTTCTTGCTGATTTTCTGATATGACTATTTTTACTGTGATAATGCTTAGAAATCTCAGTCAGCATGACAGGATCCTATACACACAGGATCTTCACTTTCCAAAGAGGTTATCCATGTAAAAATCAGTTCCTCATTGGCAATTTGAGCTGTATGGTCTTTTACAGGTGAGGGCCCCTTTGCCCCTAAACCATGGAGGAGGGAAGAGATCCACCTAACAAGGGAAAGTTCAGAGTGCCCAATTCAGACACCTAAATTGACACCCTATTGACTGAGTCACCTAAGCCAAATCCCTACAACCTGGAATTGTGACTACGTCACAGAAACATGGTGTAGCTAGATGAGAGACAGCCACAGGAAGGCCACATCGACAGTGAACACAGAAATACATGGTAACTAGAAAATACCTGTGAAAAACAAAAATCTTGTCTCTTTTGAAATAATATGAAGAAATGGAAGAGGAGAGATAACGTGGAAGTTGAAATCAAATACATGGATATAGGAGATGAAATTTAGAAGTTTCTATTATTAATTAACAAAACAAAGTATCAACAAGGAACAAGTGGAAGCTATCAGAACAATCCTGACACTTCTGAGAATTCAAAAGCTAATTGTCGATCTTAACTCACAAATTAGCATTATTTCTGTAGACAGAATATTGAACCTTATCCCCGTGATCTGTGCAATCCCAGACAGACTGCTGGAACTGGTAAAATTAGACCCATAAAGCTGAAGGGTAACATATAGGTGGACAAATAGCATTAGTGATGAAGTTCAACATTTAAAGCAGTACTTACATTCTATCTAAACAGGTGTTGACATCTTCATCCTTTTCATAGTCCTTACACAGCTGTGCTACCAAAGCCCCATACGTGAGAACAAAAAGTTCTCTGCTCTGCCAGAAAAGGTGGAAGACAAAAATTAAGCAAACTAGAATCAAACTTTTCAAGCTTTTGAGCTTCTACTGTATTAAAAGCAACCAAAATAACCTATACATTAATAAAGAAACTTTTGTCCTTGGACGTGTAATCACTGAAATCCACAACTCAAGTACGACAGAACCTGAATTGATCATCACTTGAGTCTCTGTACAGGGACTTTGCTTGTCAGAAATACCATTTCTCAGGATACAGTTGTATTCATCAGGTGCATTTCTGCATCCTATAACAGCACATATGTATGCTGGATTGATAAATGCTGTCAAACGCCATTCAAGATTAATGACAAGGAAGAATAATAGCATCAATGAACTATTAGTCCTTTTGCAATAGGAACAACAGTATATACACTGAAATTCCAGTCCCTTCATAAAGATATGGTTGACCTGATTCAGATCATCACCCTATTTTCCCCCAAAAAATAAAAATTAGTTAAAAAAATCAGCTGAGAATAAAGAAAAATACTATAATTCAGCACAAATGTAAAGAATAACAATAATCAGAGTAGCAAAGAATCAGTCCCATTGACATTTCCTTTTCTTTATCAGTCTTTACAAGTAACTTGAATCACTGTCAATACTAGCTCTCCGAACGCCTGGACAACGTCACTGTGACATTATTTCTGTATCTTAGTGCAGGAGATGTGGTTGGCATGGCTCCACCACATGAGTAAGGTGAAGGGGATGGGTAAGGATGACAGCCGCCTGCCCAAGGAGCATGGAGAGCGACTGACAAGGTACAAGACACATCTCTGCACAGACCCTGTCACAAGCACTACTCTGGGATCTTCAGCTGTGCACCAGCCTGGAGGGAAGTTTTCTTCTCTCCCTGCCCTGCCAAATCACCTCCATGGCACTGCAGAACTGACTGTGTTTAGCAAGAGTAGCAGCTGGCCTTTAGAAGAGAGACTAGGTTGACTCTCATTAAATGTCTTGGACGAGAATTAATTAAAAGAAGTGCTACAGGCCTGTGGCTTGTGGGCAGACTACAGGTGCTTTTTGCTTACAGACTGTGGAAAAACGATAGTGAATATCCCAATGAAAACAACAGAACAAACCACACAAGGAAAGGAAGAACAGCTTAATGGAAAGACCTCTTCCTGTTCCCTTTGCGTCAAAAGCTTGGAGTTTAATCAATGTTACCATTTTAACAAGTCACTGTTCAAAATCTTTGGAAGTATAGGTAGAACCATTTCCTAGCCTCACCTTGATGATAACTCCTGTTTACAATAATATTGCACACTCTGCCAAATTCTCTTTAACAAGTTTTTAATGGAGTAAAAGGATGTCATAACAGGTTTTGTATTGTTCTTGTCTCAGCAGAAAGTCTTGTAAGTGTTGTAATAAGACAAATACCTTAGAGAAACTTCAGCATACTATACCAACATTAAGTGTATTTATTAGCCACTCTTGCAATCCACTGGACTACTTTTTATCCATAATCTTATGTATATTAATTTTAATTATGTTATATTCTTCCATTTCTTTTTCAGTGGAGACCTCTGTCCCCCTTTCAGAAATTGACACATTGTCTTAAAGCCTTCTGGAACTTCTCCACTGCCCCAACTTCTACCAAAAATCACCACTCCCTATCCAGCTCTAAGTTCCTGAAGAAAGATTTGTGCAGAATTGAACCATCCAAACACAGAACAGAGATCTTCTCTCTGTGTTTTCATTTAATGATTATTTAACGACTATTTAACCACAGAGACACATAACCTTACCTGTTATTTCTATCTTTGACCGTAAATCTAAGCACAAACACCTCTGCTTCTGAACATATTCCAGTCTCAGAAACTTTGTGCCTATCTATACCAAGCCTGTTCAGAATTTCAGCACTAGGGGTAAAGTAAAAAAATGCAGTTAAGTGCCCAGTGAGTGAGACAGTCCCTTTGATTTTATCAGCCTTCTACAGTTGTCTATGTCCTCTTTTCCTTACTTTCTCTACAGGTAGAGATTCTGAGGAATCTTGTTATCTGAATTTTTTGTATTTAGACATACCACTGCCAGAGAACAGGAAAGAGAATAACTGGTATCTTTAATGACACAAAATACTGCTTTTTGTGACCATAACATTTAAGAAGGCCTCTTGGGAAAATCTTGCATGCAGTATGTTCAAAACAACTACTGGAGCTTTAGGAGAATATTAACATGAAGTTCAGAGAAAGAAGGAAGTTTTGGTCTATATAACTTCTACTTGATAGAATTCAGTGCTATGTGATCTATGGTCAAAGCCAACATTTAAAGACAACCCTTACAGTTTCACCATCGTTTCCTTGAGAATTAGGTTTTGACCTTAAAGCCAAATGTGGAGAACCTGTGATGGGGCACTCCCTGGACATAGAAAAATCACACCATCAGGAGGATGAAGAAGGACCCTGCTCATACAACATGACCCCCAAAAGAAGACGTGGTCTGCTGTGTAGGAGAGGCACACAGTGGTTACTGGGTATGCTGTGGTCCCCAATGACCCAAGTCTTCCTGTAACTGTTCATGGGGTAGAGATGTGGCTGGCACAGCTGCTTTTCTCCAATAAAGTTCTGGCCTCAAGGGATCATGCTGAGGACTGTCTGAAAATCATTTCAGGCATATCAGGACAGGCAGGACTGTCTGAAAAACATTTCATGTCATAGTCAAGGTAGCTGGAGAGATATGAAACCTCCTAGGGCAAATATCAGTATTACTGGTCAAACAGACTTCAGGTTTTTTTATGGACAGGTTTTTTTATGTCACTGTTTAATAGCTGGCAGCTTATTGGCAGCTCACGAGGAGGGACCGCTCTAGCCATAAATGCTGCCAGCTCTTCTGCTCTCATACTGGCAGACTGATCCCCATCCTTCCAGTACTTTCAGGCTATTCAGAAATCTGACAGTATAAAACATATCGATACAATAATAGCTTATTCTTGCTCAATGCACAATTTTAATCACACATTACAAAAATATCTTACTATTTTTTGGTACTCCTGCTTTCTTCCTGGTGGCCGAGACATGTTGCTTGTGTAACGCCTGACGTACTTGATTGTCAGTTTGTCTTCTCTTTCTCAAGCAGCCTAGTTTTCTCTCAATCACTGTATTTCCTCTTTCCCGTCTCCAAGGTTCTCTCCTTTCTGCTCTTCTGCCTTTTACACGAGATGTGTTTTCTGTAATCTGTAATGCTGCTGATGCTCCTCCTATTCTCTACGCATACTGAGCCCCTTGAGAGGAATTTGACTGGCAACAGATCTGCCCCTGTACACAACACAAATAACTTCCATCTGTAAGAATGATTTGTAATCAAATACACAGCACACAGCCATGGGAAGTCAAACCAGGCAGCCCTAAGAGGTCTTAGTTTTAGGGACAGCAGGTTAATTCTCTTGTTTGTGTCAGGTTTTGGTGTTTGGAGAGTTAACAGAAGATCCCTCTCTAAAGAATAAAAACACAATTGCAAGATACTGCTGCACAAGAAAATTGATAATTTTCAACTTGAAGGAGCTATATTCTTCTGTCAGCTCTGACTGCTTTAGCCTGGTGAGCTAATGTCTGCCTCGCGGGAGCAGTACAGGCTGCAAGGCACTACCACCACTATGTTTCTGCAAAGCTGGTAGGACAGACCTAGAGCACTCACATTCCCACAGGAATAGACTGTCTACCGCCTACAGCTGCCAGCTTGTGCAAATGGCACTTTCAGGACCGATGTTTCTAGGCGATCTTATATCATTCTTAACTTATTATAACCCCTATTTGTAAACAACCCTGCTATGAACATCCAGGAAGGTTACTTTTTCCATTTTCCCCTGAGGAAAATCTGGCCTATTCTGTTAGTTTAGATTTGCAATAAACTTAGACTATGGTCACTAGTGAATTTAGGAATTAATCAGGTAGCTGTCTTTCCTTATAGGACTTATCTACACATATATTCCTACTGAGTCCTCTCAGGAAAGGAAGTAAAAACACATGGCCTCATCTGAATGCCATGCTGTTATTGAATTTCAATTAATTGATAGATTCAGTGATAAATTACAGGTATTTACCACTCCAGATACATGGAAAGCAGCAGATGTGATTCATTTGTGATAAGAATTGATTTTAACAATGGTAGTTTAAAGTTATGACACAATCTAACAACAGAAAATAGGACAGATAAAAGCGTTTTCATCTTTTTCGGTGGAAAACAGTCATCCTAACAGCTTTCATTTTAAATAGAATGAGCTGCTGTTGACAACTTTACAATATGATAAGCCTCTTCTATTTTTTTTTCTAGGCACTTTTCTGGGCCTGTAAAATCTAACCTCATTTTATAAGTGAAACTATTGCAGGTAGTTCCCATATCTAATTTTAAATAATTTATAAAAACCAGGCATTAGAATTCTCTAGATAGTTATTTGCATTTCTAAATTGAGTCTGAGATGGGTTTGTTTCTCAGATTGTCTCCAACTAGTGACAAACACCAAATATGTCTCTCATTGCCAGAGCTATCCCATATTCTATTAGAAAGTGTACTGCATTGCATTTTAAAAAACAGCTCTAAAAGATTCTCATTAGAATAATTTAACTGCAGTGAAACCATCACAAAGCACTTAAGGCTACCCATAAATGAGCACCATTTTACCTATCCAGTTCTGAATATGAGGATGAATTACTTCAGCCTGCATTATTACTACTACTATCATGAAGGAACACCGTGGCCCAGGCAGAGCAATGCGTGGTAAGAACACACCAGCATTGTTTGGAAAATACATACGTGCACACGTGTATACATGTACATTCACACATATGATAGGATGTATTAGGTAGAATGTACTACATTTTGAAAGGTTTGCACGTGACTGAGAAAACAAAGCTGGAACGGTGTGTCCAAATAAACTGGGAAGTCAGTGGCTGCAGGGAGGGAAACGAGTAGATGGTGGACTGAATTCACACCTTCAGGAACAGAACAAAACCACCTTCTTAATTGTAACTGTTGTCTGACTTGCAGCCCTGTGAAAAGAGTTGGCAATTATCTGGCACCTCTTTTAAACCTTAACATAGCCTTCTCAGAAATAATCCAAGGCAATTTGAGTAGTGAGGAAGTTAGCATCGCCCTCTTCCTCCCCTTCTGTCACGTTTGTCAGGAGACGATTTTAGCCTTCGGCCCCAGTGTTCGTCTGGCACACTGCCTGGGCCATAGACTACACCAGTTCTCTTTACTTATATGATTTACGTGATTATACTTTATCATTATTATTATATTGAACAAAAAAAGAAAAATCAACCCACAAAATGTCTCCTGAAGTTCAAAAGCATGCATAGAAGTCTGCACCAACACCCTTTCTCTTACAAGGGACTGGCTATTATGGGAAAGCTGAAACATGTAGAGCTAAGAACTTGATCTCTTTAGTAGTCCAGTAGCTAAGGATTCTCCCAAACATGAATATCCCAGAGCAGAGTGCAATATAAAGGTCAATAATTAATCAGGTGTCACATGCCTAAAAAAGAACCCTAAAAAAGTTCTTTGAGGCAAAAGAAAAATACATTTGCCACAGCAGATGGGTGTCCAAATTAGTACAACAGAGGATGAGGCTTTTGTTTGCTCTCTGTCTCCAGCTCAATAGATCTTTTGTTAAATATTTCTCTCAGAGAAGACTGAATTCTTTCAAATCTCAAGAAGTTAGGTGATGTGGGTTTGAAGCTGCATGAAAAAAAAAAGTACTTGAGCGCAGGTTTCCCACATCATGGATGAGTGCTTCTACTCAAAGCCGGGTGTGGCTGCTGCTTTGGCCATGTTTCAGAATAAAGCCCTGCTGTTGCTGCCACCTTGCCTGAAGTGCCCTCTCTGCCTGGGAAGTGTTTTCAGTGGAATCTGGTGAAACTTCCTTGGTTAGGTTGGGCATCTCAGGGACTATTGTCAGAAGGATGTTTTTGCATTCAGGTGCTTACTTTCTTCTGAAACTCACTGCAGGCACCTAGAATCTCACATAAATTTGCCTATAAAGCGCAGCTGAATTCTGAAGCAGAAGATGTAAGTTTAAAAAAAAAAACAAACCTAACAAAAACAAAACAAAAACCAGGCTGCTATTCATCCCTTAAGACAAAGCTATTGATGATTTTCTCATCAGTGCTTGTCCTGGTTAAGGGGAGAGGAACTTCTCCCTTAACGAGGCCAAAGAGACCATGAAAATGACTCGGCAGCCTGAAGCGAACCCGCGTCCAGGCAGAACGCAAGGACATGGGAACTGGGCTTGTTTAGCCTGGAGAAGAGGAGGCTGAGAGGAGACCTGATCACTGCCTAAAACTACCTGAAAGGAGGTTGTGGGGAAGTGGGTGTTGGTCTCTTCTCCCTAATGACAGATGATCGGACGAGGGGGAATGGACTCAAGCTGCGCCAGGGGAGGTTTAGATTGGATGTAAGGAAGAAGTTCTTCACCGAAAGGGTTATCACACACTGGAACAGGCTGCCCAGGGAGGTGGTGGAGTCACCATCCCTGGATGTGTTTAAGAGACGGGTGGATGAGGTGCTGAAAGATATGGTTTAGTGGTGGACAGATACGGTTGGACTGGATGATCTCTAAGGTCTTTTCCAACCTAGTGATTCTATGATTCTATGATTCTATGACATGGGCAGTGCTCCCCTGTACTCCCACAGGAAATCTGCCAGGCAGGTACTTTTGTAGTATGCTTTCTAAGGTGCAAAGACAGACTCAGCACCCATGCAAAATGCAATTCAAAATGCAGCTAGAGGGGGCACAGAACATCAGCCTTTTGACTGCTATCTCAGTGATGAAAACACTTGTGCAGGACCAGAGAGACAAGGGTTCTGTCTCCAAACTTTATAGGAACCAACCTTCAGATGGAAAATAGAGCAACACTTCCCTCTTTCTCTCTACCTTTTCCTGACCATTAGATAACAAAATCCTAATCTTTTTCTGATCCAATAAATATCAAAATCCTCTCCATGGGGGAACTAAGTGCAATTGATAGAAATACGGCAGGAAAGATGGAGAATACAGCTTCTTCCCACCACAGTCAAACCACATCACTAACAACTGAGCTCTTGGAAGAAAGATGAGTGGGTGAGTTTTGACCAGATCAGGTGAAGGGAACTGAAACCAATCTCTCCCTTCTGCCATGGCTGCTTTATTGCAATACATAGCAAACAAGAGAATAAAACCTGTTTGCTTGTGCTTGGGAGGATAGGAAGGTGTCATATGTCTTCCAATAACCATGTTTTAAAATAAAATGACAAACCATTTTCAGTTCTTAAAAAAAAAAAAAAAATCACTTATTCTCTTAAGTGAGGTTCCTGTCAGTGAATTCAAGCTGATAGAGCCCTGCAAAATAACAGGTACCCTGCTGGCCTCAGAAGTCAGCTACAAGCACCTCTTTGTCTCAGAGGCAAGCTGGCTGTCACCTCAGGTAGTGGTATTTTGGATTGCATTCAGTCCTAACTTCCTGAGCATCAGATATAGAGCCTAAATGTCTGCCTCAGTACGCCAGTTCCTCTGCAAAGGCAAGTACTTAAAGGTTTGATGTGCCGACCAGGCTCTTAATTGGATCCAACCCTGTAATTTGTTCCGTAATAGGATGACCCAGCAGGATTATTTACAACACAGCATGAAAGCAAATGCCAAAGAAGTGACAATGCAGCAGCACAAAGTTGTTGTATTGATTGTATAAATTGCCTCATTCAACAGCCTTGGGCTGATTATGAATATTTCAGTGTTGTACATCTCTTCAGTTTCACATCTAATGTGTTTCTTGAGTAAACAAGTGATGCTTGGGAAAGCTTTCCTCCCTTATAAAAGAATAAGGCATGGGTTCCCAAAGGAAGCAGCAATCAATCGGAGATTTTAAAATCTGCTGTGGTGTAGTGGAAGACTCATAAAACACATCTTCGAAATAATTTTGTAATAGCCTGATGGGCTTATTCCACTGAACTTAAAGAATGGTTTTTTTCAAAATATAATGTCAGTAGGACCAAAAAAAAAAAGGTTATTAAAAATCCTGTGATACTGAAAGAAAATGAAGCTTC